TCAAAGTGGTAGAGCACTAACCTTGAGCACAAAAGCTCAGGGACAGTGCCCAGGTCCTGAGTTCAAGCCCCAGGACCTGCACAAAAAAGAAGAAAGGAAGGGAGGGAGGGAGGGAAGGAGAGAGAGAGAGAGAGAGAGAGAGAGAGAGAGAAGAAAGAAAGAAAGAAAAAGAGAGAAAGAAGAGAGGGAGGGAGGGACAGAGGGAGGGAGGGAGGGGATAGGAGGGAGGAAGGAAGTGCAGGGAAGAAGGAAGGGGAGGGAGGAAAAGGAGAGAATGTAAGTAAATTGAAGTCTAAAATATGAAAGATATGTATTTTTAAATTGTATGGCCAAGGTAAAACTCAAATTAGAGGCACCATAGTATCAAACTAGAGGTTACAATATATATTATAACCTCTAAACACAGGAAAAATGCTTTCCTGATTTTGTTCAAAGGGCTAATAAATCAGTTATTTTGAAACTCAAAGTTTAAATTGATACTCATTCTGGACAGTTTGCTGATAGGCTATTAATAAGATGGGTTAGAATCTAAACAGAGTTACTGGGAACCAGCATGGGTAGATCAAGTGGGAAAAGATAAACAGGAGAGTTTTTTTGAGAGTTATTTTTAATTATGGATGACTTTGAATATGGGTCAAATGAAAATGAGGAAAAGAAGGAAAATCAAGAATATAATGTGTAGTTGGAAATCAAGGTGAAGGACAGTTGAGAATTTCATTATTACCATAGCTAAAAAGCATTTCATAAAAAGGATGCAAAATGTTCAATTTGAAGTCATTTGCATTAGTGTAAATTAGGCTTGTGTTAGATAATTTTATGAGCAAGTTCTAGGGAATTACATAACTGTTTATAGATCTTTAAAGAAAGAACAGAATTTCAGGCAAGTAGCTGCAGATGCACATCCATTAAAGCCTGAACCTGAATATGTGGGGACAAAAGATGAACCCTCACAGAGACTCAGAAACCTTAGAGAGGAGCCTGCGTTTCCTAGTGTTTGGGGTGACTTTATTTCGCTCCAAATAAAAGATCTACAACACACATGTGAGCGACATGAAAAAAAAAAATCCCAAGCATGAAGAGTTTCGTCTTGGTGTTAGAAATGATGGAATAGCTGGTGTGTCAAGATAGAATCAGAGGTTCCAATGTGACAAGAAAAAAGATAATCAAGTGCTGACTCGGGGTTGGGACAACAATGGAAGAAGAGTTGTAAATTTATAGATGGGGGAAAATTACACATATGGGGACATCAAAAATAAACTTTTGCTGATGGCTCACGCCTGTAATCCTAGCTACTCAAGAGGCCAAGACCTGAGGATTGGGGTTCAAAGCCAGTCTTGTGGTAAAGGCTGTGAGACTCTTATCTCCAATTAACTACCAAAAATGGCAGAAATTGAACTGTGGCTCAAGTGGTAGAGCAAAAGCCTTGAGCAGGAAAAACTCAGGGACAGTTCCCTGGCCCTTAGTTCAAGCCCCAGGACCAACACAACAACAACAAAAACAAAAAAATGAACTCTTCAAATGTAAGAGAAAACAATGCTGTGAATAACAAAGTCCTGAGGAGGAGACCAGGCAGTGGTTTGAATTACTGATTCACTTCAAGTTTCTGGCAGAGGAAAAGCCTGAGATCAGTTTCACAAATATTGACAACATTTTAAGAAAGTCATTTAAGAGACAGGTGCAGTAGCTCATGTCTGTAATCCTAGCTATTTGGGAGCCAGAGAACTGGGAAGGATTGCGAATCAAAGCCAGCCCAGACAAGAAGTTCACAAGACTCCCTCCCAAACAATAGCAGGAAGAGGGTGGTGTTATGTGCTTGTCATTCCAGATATACAGGAAGTGTAAATAGGAGAATCATTGTCCAGACCAGGCACAAATTTGAAAGTCTAATTTAAAAACAAGTAAATGAAAAGAGCAGAGGCATGGCTCTAGTGGTAGAAAACTTGCCTAGAAAGTGTGAAGTCCTGTGTCCAAACTCCTGCATGAATTTTTTTTAAATCTACAAACATTTAATTAGATATATAAGGATAACAGGGAAATAACTTATTATCAAAATAATAAGTAACATATCTACAGAGATGCAAACCTGCAGGAAAACTACGCAAAGTTCCTTCTTCAGTCTCAGTTTATTCCCTGACAAAGGATGAGACTAATCCACCGACCAGGGCTACGAGCCAGACCAATTCCCACTGGTTCAGACAAAATCTACTGTCTTTCTTTCATCCTTGCCCAATAGCAAATGATAAACTGGTATGCAATTACATGCTACACATACAGAAATATTTATAGACAATCATCTTTCCCTGGAAACATGCAGTTCAGAAACTCAGCCCCCTGGAGAGGAGTGAATACCACCAGAAAACAAGCAAGATACAAGGATCTGACTTCTGCTTATACAGATGATTCCCATTATTTAAAAGAGATTCATGCTTAAGCATGTTTATTTCTATTTATAAAAGGTCATTGCCTTGGGACTAGGAAGGTGGCTCAGTGGTAGAGTGCTTACCTCACACGCATGAGGCTCTGGGTTCAATTCCTCAGCACCACATAAATAGAAAAAGCCAGAAGTGGGAAGTGGCGCTGTGGCTCAAGTGGTATAGTACTAGCCTTGAGCTGAAGAGCTGAGGGACAGCACCCAGGCCCAGAGTTCAAGCCCCATGACCGACAAAAAAAAAAAACAGAAAGGTCACTGCCCTGACTGGGACAATGTTATGATTATAGATATTGCTTACTAGAGAAAATAGGCAGAACGGTGTGCCATACAGAAAAACACAAGTCTTTCAGAGTTAGCAAATTATACTCCTTGCCAAGCATTTCTGGCTTTTGTTTGTTATTGCTTGCAGGCAGTAGAACTCAGGGATTAGTGAATGCTGAAAGCACTCTTTCACTGAGTTTGGTCATCTTAAAGAATATATCTAAATTTAATATCCAAAGAAGAGGTAGAGGGAGGTAGACAGTTGAAGCACAGGCATTTCTGTGAGTTGAGTTCAGCTTCATATCTAGGCAAGGCCTGGAAGTTCCTCATGTTAAGTTCAGCCCGGACACAGTCAAGACAGGACATGCTCCAGAACTCCTTGTCTGATCAACTGTTCACATTTCCACCGAGGCAAAAAGTGCTGGCTATTTTTTTTAATAGGACTGAAGTGCCATCATCCTCTTCGAATTCTCCATAGTCTTTTAGACACTGCACTTCAATATATAGGCTTTTCGGAGGTTTCCTATCCTGTGTGATATCCAAACCTTCATTTCCTCCCAGTGACCTCATGTAAGTAGCAAGGATCTTTTTTTTTGGTCCAGTCGTGGGGCCTGAACTCTGGGCCTGGGCTCTGTCCCTCAGCTCTTCAGCTCAAGGCTAGCACTCTACCACTTGATCCACACCGCCACTTCTGGCTTTTTTCTTTTTGCTTATGTGGTGCTGAGGAATCGAACCCAGGGCCTGAGGCATGCAAGGCAAGCACTGTACCACTGAGCCACCTTCCCAGCCCCGCAAGGATCTTTTTATAATGATTGAACCACTCCATTTCTTCAGCAGACATGTGAAATCGTAAAGCATTTGGCAAGATGCTACCATATTCCCACCTGAGAGCTCTAATCCGAAGCGATTGGTCATACAAATAGGCTACAGTGCAGCGCCGATTTCTTAATGACAAAATTTGATGGTTGGTATCAGATCACCTCTTCCACCTGACTTTGTTTCATTCACATCAGACTGGTTTTGTTCATATGATGCTTTTGTCTCTTCTAGAACTTGTCTGATTCCATCCTCGTTGAAAGCAGGCAGCTGTCCCTCAGGCACGAGGTGCAGCTCGCAGACCAGCTCCATGGCTTTTTTGCCCAACATGGTGGACACGCCCTGGTGGCCTTGTCCAGTCAACCGCCGGGTCTCAGGACAAACAGCCGTGGGCTCCGGCAGCCTCACCCTTCTCGTTGGGCCCCTGCATGGATTTTTTAAGTCATATCATCATTCACATTAGTTCAGAGAAAATGAAAAATGATGTATGAACAGCTTCCTATGAAGCCTTGACTATTGTCATCTTTATTACCATAAACACTTTCTGAGGAAAACATGTATAGAGACCCTGACAGATCCAGTTGACTTAGCTCACTAATTACTAATGATTCATTTTACTCTCTCTCTTCCTCTCTCTCCAGGGCCTGGCAAGTATTAAGCACATGTTCTGTAAATGAAGTCTCCTCCCACCTTCAGCTTGATTAGTTCTTAATTTAAATAGTTCTTAATTTAAAGAGTCAAATGCAAGAAAGTAAAACATTTGCCAGAAAATAGAAGATATATTTTAGGGAAATTGGCTAAGGACTCCTAGTTCCGAGATTTGTTTTCAAGGTTCAGATTGAAAACCTGAAGTCAGGTAACCATGAGAATGGTCTGCAGTTAGGGAGGGTCAAGACAGAAGTAAAGGCACATGCCTGTAATCCTAGCACTTGGAAGCTGAATCAGGAGGCTTGTGGGTTGAAGATCTCCCTGGGCTACATAGAGAAACCCTTTCACCAAAAGGAAAAGTGAGGCAAGTCCAAAGGAATACACACTGAAAGGTAAGGCAGCCAATATCTATAGTAGAGAAGCAGGGAAAGTTCCTTACAACTTCTAGAAGGACCAGCCATCATATTGCCATTAATACTTGAGAATGTAAACTGTACAGTTGATGCATGAGTTAAAGATAAAACAGTAACCATAGCCAACACTTTAGACAATGTTCTAAGTACATAAATTAACTCATTCAAATTCACCCTATGTGTACCTACGAGGGAGACACAGTTATTGCAATTAATTATTGTGCACTGAGGAAACAGGTGCATACACATCTCAGAGAAATGGCAGACAAGATCAATCAATCAACAAGGCAGCCACTTGCAATGTTCTGCCTTAACAGGTGCATTTTTGTTGTTGGTAAATAAATCAGATCCTACCTTTTATAGCATAATCTTCAAATCTCAGACAGTCTGTATTCATACAATTTTCAGAATGCAATTGATAATATCTCTGCTAGAATTTATTATTGTAAATGCCTTTTGTGATTTGGCATCCACATGATTGTCTATGGTTTATTGATTGGATGTATCTTCTTCCAGGCACTGAGCATGTGGTGGGAAACAGATTCATGATGGTCCTAGTCTTAAATAGGGGCAGGAATAACCCACTTCAAAGAGACAAGGCAGGTAGAACTTAACCTCTCTTCTTCCTGAATCCTACCAGGATACTGTACTATCTTGGTTCACAACTGTGTGGAGTTCATCCTCGCTACTACCTCTGAAATTGTATGGTTTGTAGAGCTAGGTGCCTCTTCATTACATGCTGCTCTTCTGTTTTAGATGGTGATAATGGCTTCTTTCTTAATGGCTTCTTTCTTCTTTCTCCTTGCCATGGAAACTATTAGAGACATTCCTTTTTTTTCTCTCTCTCTTCTGTGTTCAGCCACTCTTCACATTGTTGCCAAGGAAAACCAGATAAGTATTAAGTGTAATATTACTTTAAATATCCTGTGTCTAGATAGAAAGTGCATGACTTTTATGACATTATTTTGAACTAGCTTTGGTCTCTTCTTGCATTTATCAAAGGATTTTTTTTTATCAGGATTGAGGTTCTTAAGAGTTTCAACATCAGATAGGAGAGTCCAGATAAGGTTTCTGGGGAACCTGGGAAAAGGGCAGTTTTATGGCATATGATTGAGTAAGGTCTGAAGATCTGACTATTTGGTGTCTCTTCTGTTCAATCTGATGCATTCCCTTTAACATCTCTTGTAGTGAACAACTGATGATAATAAATTGTTTTGGAAACTTCCTTAGTTTTATTTTATTCTCATAGGATATTATGGCTGGATTCAAAATGTGGAATTGACAGTTTTATTCTTTTAGGCACTTGAAAATATTGTTTATTTCCTTCGTGGCTCCCCTTTTCTGACAAAAAGGCCAAAGATGTTAAATGACTTTTACCCTGATATGTAATGTATTAATTTTTTCTGGATATTTTTACAATTTCCTCTTTATTTTTAGTAGTACGTTGTTATGTATTGTTGTTTGGCAAATAATTCCAAACTTCACATTTATTATTGCATGATTTCTGTGGAGCACAGAAATTATGGACATAGCTTTTTGGGTCATCAGGCCTTGGATCTCTCACAGGCTATATTCTTGTCAGGCTTGAGGGTGAAGAATCTGCACATGATTCACACAGCTATTGTGTATTCTGTTCCTTGTGGGTTGCTGGCCAGAAGTCTCAGGTTCTCACAAGCTATTGGCCAGAGGTCTTCCTTAGTTCACTGACACAGTCATCTTACAACATGGCACACACATCTTACAACATGGCAGCTTGCTTCATGAAAGCAAATAAAAGGAGTCTAGAGGGTATGAGAGAGAGAGAGAGAGAGAGAGAGAGAGAGAGAGAGAATCACAATTTTTATATCCTAATCATAAAAGTGGCATTCTACTAGTTTAGTCTTATTCTGTTCAACAGAAACAAGTTACTAGGCTCTTTCCATACTTCAGGGGAACAGATTATACAAAAGTGGAGTAAAAGGGAGCCCTGTCAGAAACTGTTTAGGCAGTTTGACTACGGTATACTAGACAGGGCTTCCTTTGTATATTTACCCCAGTTGACTCTTTTCTTCTTTCTTTCTTTCCTTCCTTTCTTCTTTCTTTCTTTCTTTCTCTCTTTTCTTTCGTTGATTGTGAGGATTGAACTCTGGGCCTGGGCACTGTCCCTCAGCTCTTCAGCTCAAGGCTAGCACTCTACCACTTGAGTCACAGCACCACTTCCAATTTTCTGGTAGTTTACTGGAGATAAGAGTCTCACGGACTTTCCTATCTGGACTGGCTTTGAACTGTGATACCCAGTCAGCCTCCTGAGTAACTAGGATTACAGGTATGTGCCACCAGCGCCCAGCCTAGTTGAGTTTTACTGAGTTTGTAAATGTATGTCTTCCACCAAACTAAGGATGTTTTGTTGCCACTAATATCTCACTTCCTACCCTTTTTCTTTTCTTTTGGGATTACAACTGCCTATATTTTGGCCCTTTTGATATTATTTCTGATGTTCTTAAGGCTCTATTAACTTTTTCAAATACATTTTTTTCAGAATGGAAAATTTCTATTGATCTAACTTGAAGTTAACAGAATCCTTTCTTTGTTCTTCTATAAAGTCTGCTTTATTAACTTTTCATTTTAGATATTATTATTATTGCCAGTATGGGGCGTGAACTCAGGTTGTAAGTGATATCCTTAAGGTTTTTTGCTCAAGGATAGTGCTCTACCACTTGAGTCACAGCTTCACTTCTTGCATTTCTCAGGGGCAGGGGGTGGTTAACTGGAGATAAGAGTCTCACAGTCTCACAGACTTTCTTGCCTGGGCTGGCTTTGAATCACAATCCTCAGATCTTAGCCTCCCACACAACTCAGATAACAGGCATGAGCCACTATCACCTGGTTCAGATATTAAATTTTTAAAGTTATAAAATTTTCCTTTTAGGGGGCTGGGAAGGTGGCTCAGTGGTAGAGCGCTTGTCTTGCATGTGTGAGGCCCTGGGTTTGATTCCTCAGCACCACATAAGCAAAAAGAAAAAAGCCAGAAGTGGCGGTGTGGATCAAGTGGTAGAGCACAAGCCTTGAGCTGAAGAGCTGAGGGACAGTGCCCAGGCCCAGAGTTCAGGCCCCACAACCAGACCCCCCAAAAAAATTCCTTTTAAAAGATAACAATATTATAACCTTTATTACTTATTTCTCCAAGTTCTTTAGCATAGTAGTAGCTTCAGAAAATCAAAGTGGTTGGGCCTCTTATAACCTCTGAAAAAAAATCTTTACTTAGAAGGTATTTAACAAAAAGTTAAAAGTTAACAAAAGTTTGTTGAGAACAAAGTAAAAGCAGTATCCAGCAAAGAAGCAAAAAATGGGTACTTGTTGGCTTATTTTGAGAAGTCAGGCACACTGATAAATTTGACTAGTGGAATATCAAGAGAAAGTATACATCTTAATTCACAGACAATGGAAGTTGTAAATCTGAGTGGCTAATTCACTCTAAGGGCCATCATAATTTATATATTTGAGTTTTAATGCCTTTGCATAGTCTCTTTCCCCTTCAGTGTGGACAGGATTTAAGACTTTCTTTTAAATAATATGATACAAATGCTACATGACACTCCTGTGTTATTTAAGACTATTTTGCCAACAGACTCACTTTTTACTTTCTCCTTCCTGGTTTGGTGAAGTTAATGGCAGTCCTGCATGGCAAGGAACTAGAGATGACCTCCAGGCTCCACCTAGGCAATAGCAACAACAATAAAAAGGTGGCGGGGGGGGGGGTCAAATTCTGCCAGCTACCCAAATGGACTTGGAAACTGATTTTTTTCCTACTGAGGTCTCTGAATGAGACTTGCCTAGATAACAAACACCTTGATTGTATCATTTCAAAGGATCTAGCTAAGCTATTCTTAGACTTCTCAGTTACAGAAACTGTAGAATGTATTTTTTTATTAAAGGCCACTAAATGTGAATAAACATTATGCAGTAATAGAAACCTAACACAATCTCCATAGTCATAGAATTTTGCTACCTTTTATTTTTCTGAGTTTTTTTTTTGTTTGTTTGACATGTGTGTGTGCCAGAACTAGGACTAGAAATCAGAGCCTGAGAGCTGTTCTTAAGTTTTTGTGCTCAAAACTAGTACTCTACCACTTGAACTATATAGCTCAACTGCCACTTTTTTTTTTTTTTTTTGGTGGTTAGTTAATTAATTACCTGCCCGGCCCAGCCTACCTTCAAACCACAATCCCCAGAACTCAGCCTCCTGAGTAACTAGGATTGTAGTTGTGAACTACTGATGCCCAGCTGGGAGTAACTTTCTTTCTTTCTTTCTTTCTTTTTGCTGGTTGAGGAGCCTGAACTCTGGGCCTGGGCACTGTCCCTAAACTCTTCAGCTCAAGGGGAGCGCTCTACCACTTGAGCCACAGCACCACTTCTGGCTTTTTCTGCTTAGGTGGTACTGAGGAATCGAAACCAGGGCCTCATACATGCAAGGCAAGCACTCTACCACTAAGCCACCTTCCTAGCCCTGACGGTAGTTCTTAAACCAATGTTTTTTAACCACTTGAGCAACAGCACCACTTCTGGTTTTCTGGTGGTTTATTAAAGGTAAGAGTCTCACAGACTTTGCTGCCTGGGCTGGCTTTGAACCGACATCCTCAGATCTCAGCCTTCTGTGTAGCTAGGATTATAGGCATTAGTCACTAGTAGCCGACTATCTTAAACCAATTTTTGTATTTAATATGTTGCTTCTGTTTTAAGAAATGAAATATTTGGCGGTAAGCAATATTGTAATTTAACCATCAAAACTCTGGGAAACACAAGAAAAGCATTTTTTAAATGATCTTGTACCAGTAGTTCTACTCTTGGAAATCTGTCCATATAAATAAAAAAACCCATTTAGTAAGTGTAGATAAATTTACTTTGTAAGTATTTTTAAAACAAATTATGTCAAAGTTGCAAAAGAGTTGAAACAATTTTTAATAAGTTTTGTTAAATTGATCTCTAAGAACACTATTAAAATTCACATTTCTACCAGTAATGTATATATCATTTTCTCTATCTCCTTATAATGTTAAATTTTTACCCATATATTTTAGTTGCCAGCTCTATCATTTATAACAAAATACTCTAGCCTAGGTGTCTTAAATAACAAAAATTTGTTTCCACAATCCCGAAGGCATTTGTTCTCAGGAAAATATGGTCAGTAATCTCAGATAAGTTAATATATGTTATGCTTTGAATAATATGTAAGGAAGCACAGGATGGTAATCTTTTAGAATCTCTCTTGGAATCATATTTTTTATTTATGTACATTGATATTTCAATGAATCATGTAGTTGGAAAATCACACAGATTGGAAAGCAAATTATGCAGACATCTAAAAGTTACATATGAATATGTGCTAAAGTTCTGGCTACTTGGGTTTCTCGTATGCAAAGTGAACTGTATTCATTTATTTAGTAAATACTATTTTAAAGTGTCTGTGTTATGTTGGAGTCTAAGAGTTAGGCTAAGTAAATCCATTGCCTTCAAAGAGCATTCACTATAGTTATACTGAAAAGGGACCTTGTTTGCATGTTTTAATGTATGATGCACCTATGACCTGTCCTGCATGACTAAACTGTACAAAATGATATGATGGAAAAGTTGGCAGCAGGGACTCTATTTTAGGTAAGATAACAGGAAAGGCCTCTAGGGAAAGTGCGTTCCCTCTAGGGAATATTACAGAAACAGAAAAAAGACTAGGGCTATGTTTCTATGCACTTATGACAATGACTGCAACCTTTGCTTGTCCTAAAACTGTAGAAGCATAACCTAACCTACAGTTCTGATGTTCTCAACTACTTATACCTAGTTATTATAAATTCCTTGTGTGATGAAAATGTCCATAAGGGAATTTCTCTGCAGATTCAGGGTGATCAGCAAAAGTGAGTCACTGAAGGCTTTAAATGACACCTGGTTCAGATCCTAGAGTATTAGATGTGCTTTGGAAAAATTCTTTTATATTGGGAATGTAACTGTATTCTCTTCCTAAAGGCAAAGTCAATATTCAATACGAAAATGTAACTATTATTTTCTAGGTACACTCTTATCTCTTTGACGCCCCCTGCTGTGGTATCCTGCTAACTACAGAAATATATTAAACCTAGAAGCAGGCAGCTCTGGTTTTTGAGAATACGTTTCAAAGCCTGGCTTCTAATGACGTCATCCTTTCACAACTCTCTGGGTTATAAAATGTTTATGTGAAAAACCCACCAAAAATTTTTTTCATCAAAAGCTAGATCCTTGTTAAACTTATTTTTTCTTTAATCTTAGAATACAGCATGTGAAAATATGTAAGAACAGGCAACAGATGCTTTGTTCTTCAACAAACCCCTAGATGCCTGCAGAGTTGATACTTAAAATTACCATGACACTCAAGTTGGGAAGACCTTTCTTCTTGTTTCAAAGTATTTTCACATCAGTCTCTTACCAAAGCACCTGGAGAGATATGAGGAGAAATGAAAACTGAGAAAGGGATAGATGAATAATTGGTATTCCAGAAGGATTTTTTTCAAGAAGTTGGAATATTTTTAAATATTGTTTCAAGATACATTATCCTCATACTCAATGCTGCATAAGAAAGTAACTTACAAAAATTTTAAAGTGACTGTAAAATTATCTTCAGACCTCTTAATATGGATTGTTTCATTAATCATGTAACAGTATTTATAGGACGTTTGTATAAATGTAGCACATGGTACATCTTTGTTGTCAAATCATATTAAGAAATCATTTTTGACCATTAGTTTTATGGTTTGTAATCTCTCAGTTTTTCCTAGTATCTCTGTCTCCTTTTTTTCTTTTTTGGTACTGAGGGCTTCACTCTTGCTAGGCATATGCTGTACTGGCTGAACCATGGATCACTGCTCTGGCTATTTTTTAGGTAGGGTTTGACTTTTTGCAAGGGCCAGTCTAGACAATCTTATTCATAATTATTTATACTTCCTGACATGACAGGCTCATACCACCATGCCTCTCTTTTGCTCTTGAGTTGGGGTTCGCATAAACTTTTGGGGGGGTCTGGGGCTTGAACTCTGGGCCTGGGGGCAGTCCCTGAGTTCTTCAGCTCAAGGTGAGCATTCTACTTCTTGAACCACAGCACCACTTCAGGTTCCCTGGTGGTTAATTGAGGAGTCTCATGGACTTTCCTTGCCCGGACTGCCTCCTGAGTAGCTCTTAGGCATGAGCCACAAGTGCTCAGCTCTCGTAAACTTTTTGCCTGGTTTGATCCCTCCTGATCTCAACCTCCCACACAGCTGGTATGATAGGCATATGCCACCATGCCCATTGGTTGAGATAGTCTGACTTTTTTTCTTCTTTGGGGGAGGGGGAGCAACCTTGGGCTATGATTCTCTGGTTCTCTACTTTCTGAGTAATTAGGATGGGTGTGAGCCACTGGTTGCCTGGCTTGCCTAGTTTATTAAAAAAATAAATAAAATTGCAAAAGTTCTCAGATTTGTAAGTGCAGTGGTCAATTCCTTGTCTTCATTGTGTTTAAGTGTCAGGAGTTTAGAATGCAGGTGGTCACTCTGACTCCTTTTATTTCTTGCTCCATTCTTCTGGCTTTCTTCTAACTTCAGTTTCCTTTGCAAGCTTCTCCAAATCTTCAGCTCTTGGAGTGGCCCAATGCTTGGTTCTCAATCTACAATTCACAATCTTGTCATGGCTCTAAAGAGTACGTGTATGCCAAGGATTCTCAACCAGGGCCATGCTTCATGGAGATGGCACAGTCCTAAGGTCCTTACCCTCAGAAAGGGACTGCAGTTGTTTTAATACTGTTGTCACAACCTTGAAATTCTGAATAGTTTTTTTTAACAAAGGTTCATTTTCAGTTTGCTTTGGGTCCTGAAAATTGCGTATCCTTTATCTAGTACTATATATCTAAACACTAACCCCCTCTCCCGACTTGTAAATCTATTTCACATCTCTACCTGGATGTCCAACAGACATGTCCATCCCAACAAGATCAAAACTTAACTCTTCCCCATACCTATTCCACCTCTAGTTGTCCCCACTTTGGTAGCTATGTTTCCAGTTGCTCAGATTAAACATTTTGGTGGCATTTTTTAGTACGTTATTTTGAATATACTCTACCACCAGTCAGCCAATCATGTTGATTCTAGCATCAAAACATATCCAGCAGCCATCACCTTGCGTCATCTTGATCTAAGCCACCATCTTTTTTTCTGGATCACTGCAGTAGTTTCATGCTACCCCATATGTAGGTTACATATGGGTTACCCCCACGTCTTTTATGTAGGCCTCCTGTCTTTTATCCTGATTTCTTGTCTCTTCTCAACACAGGAGCTACTGTGGCCTCCTTAAAAATATAAGCTAGATGATATTCTTCTGGTCAATCCCTCCAGTGGCTCCCCATGTAACTCAGAATGAAAAATCATTTTTGAGGAGTCTTGTCTACCACTATCACTGACCCCAGACAATTCTCTCTTTTTTCACGCTCTTACTCACTCTACCCATGTACCTTGGCTTCCTTGCTTTTTCCTAAAATGCCAGGCTTGCCATCAGGTTCCCTTACCAGGAATGCTTGTCCCCTACATCTTCATGGCTAACCTAAGAATCTTCTCCATTGTCAATTACTTTTCTAGACCTACTCAGACACATCCTATCAAAAATTTTAACCCACACACACCCAGCATTCTCAGTGCCCTTTATTATGCCCTACATTTTTATGGTTTAGGCTTTAAAAAAAATTATAAAAGGGAGTTTCTTTGAACTTTCATATATGCATACAGGGAAACTTAATTGGACTCATTGCACCTATGATTTTAATATCTCAATCTGTAAGATGTTGGATGTTTCACAGGGGGGTTCAAATAACTTACAAGGAGGCTGGAATCTGAGGATTGTGGCTTAAAGCCAGCCCAGGTCAGGAAGTCTATGATTCTTTTATCTCCAATTAACCACCCAAATTATGCATGATTCAAGTGGTGCTAGCCTTGAGAAAAAAAAAAAGTTCAGGGATAGCACCCAGGCCCAGAGGAACCAAAAAAAAAACAAACAAACAAAAAAAAAACAACTGTCACTAAGATCTAACTTCTTGTGCAAGCATTTGAGTTTTAATTCAGTGGACTTCTCTCCTGCCCTGGTGATGGTTTCTCATTGGCTCTCTAGCCCTTTGCTTTCAGTAAATCACTCTCCTATTCTTTTCAAATTTCTCTTGCCTCCCCTGCTTCCCAGCCACACACGTGGATAATTGTCCAGGTCATTTATTGAAATGGCCACTTTTTCCTCCACAGTACTAAAGCATCCCCTCTGTATAAACTACCACAGGTCAGCTTCTTTAGTGCTGGGATTTCAGGCATGTGTCACCACAATGAGCCCATTAGTCTACTTTCTATATACCTTTATGTCAGTACCACACTGGATTCATTTTTGTGGGTTTTTATTTTGTAGGTTTCATGTTATTTTTCTGCTAAATCACCAAGCTTTGTTGTTCTTCCAATCTCAATTATTCATTTTTATCCCCCTCCCCCCACCCCCAACATTGAGGATTGAAGTCAGGCTTCATTGTGCAAAGCAGGCACTCTTGATCCATCCCTCCAGCCCATTTGCCAGTTATTTTTGAGGTATAGTCTCAATTTATGCCTAGGTTGTGATCCTCTTTCTTGTGCTTCCCCACAGGGCTGAGGATGTTAGGGTCCAGCCATTGTTCTTTTCCAGTAGCTAGGCTAACAGGAGCATGACACCACAGCCATTAGCTGGGATGGAGTCTTCTAAACTTTTATGCCCGGGCTAGTTTTGAACTGTGATCCCCTGATGACTCCCAAAAAGCTTGGATTACAGGATTGAACTACTGTGCCCAGCTTTGACTATTCTTGACTACCTCAATTTCCATATAAATTTGATCAATTTATATACAAATACCCATATAACCTAATAGAATTGGCATTACAGTAAGTCAGTGGATTTAGTGAGTAGAATGGACAACTTTACAATACTGTCGTCCAACTCATAACCATAGTAGATCTATTCATTTACTTGGGTTTCTCTAATTTTTCTAATAGTATATTTTCTACAGAGAAAATATACTATACAGCCTTAGACAAAATTTATTTCTTAGTAGATTGAACCATGGCCCCAAAATAACTCCGGAAGATCTAAATGCCACCTTACATGGATAAAGGTCTTTGTAGATGGGATCAAGGAGTCCTCACAAATGCCATCACAGTATCCTTATATTAAAATCATACACAGGAGAGTGAAGAAAAAGAGGTTAGTTATGTGGTTTCAAGCCAAGAAATAACAGCAGATAACAGCAGACACCAGAAACTGAAAAAGGCAGGGTACAGATTTGCCCCTCTGACATCTTGATTTCAGTCTGCTAGCCTCCACTACCAGAACGTAAGTGTTTTAACCCGTTTGTGGTAACTTGTTACAGCAGCCAAAGAAAACTAATAGATATTTGATGCTTTCAACGCATTTGTGTAGTTGTAACCTGAAAATAATTTTCTAATTGCTTAGTGCAATTGATAAACTGATTGTATCCAGCAACTTGTTAAATTCGTTTAATACTAATAATAGTGGATTGTTTTATGTATAGACTATCATGTTATCTTGGAATAACAGTTATCTGTCTTTCCAATCCTTACATATCTTCTTTTCCATAATTTCCAGGACCTCTAGGGCAATAATGAAGTATGTAAGTATCTTATCCTCCCCTTCCCCCCATGGTATTAGGGATCAGCCAAAAGCTTCCCTCCTACTTAACAAACCTAAGGCATTTTCTTAACCCCCTTTCATGATACTGCCAATCACTGGACATTGCTTCTTAACCCATTCTTGCCCAACTTCCCTGCCCAGCTGCTTTTTTTCTTTCTCTAGCCCTTTAGAAATAAGCATTCCCAAAATTTCTATCATTTTTCTATTCTATGATGTCCTTATTAACTGTTAGGAAATCATTTTAAGGTCCACTATCAGCTTTCTAAACCAGGCTGGCTTCAGGTGCTTTCCTTTTCTTAGGGGCACAACAGAAAGTGGCCTCTTCTTTTTTAGAAATGCCATATATTGCCACCTTAAGTACTTTCTCTATATAGTCTTCTCTCTTTCCTATACGACAGCAGAATATTTTCACTTAAACATGGTGTTAAGTTACCAAGGTCCTAGATCTTCCCCATGTTTTGGTTCCTGATTTATACACAGATCCCTTTACATAGAAAAGTGTATGGGAGATTTTCTTGCAGCGTTGGGGTGCTGGAAAGCTCATCTTGGTGAATTCCGTCTGGCTGGCTTTCCTGTTACTGGACTAAAAGGAGCTGAGTCATATTCATTAGAAGCTCCAGTGCAAGAACCAAAATACTGACGTGTTAATTTACAGTGAAAAAACGTAAGTGCCAATAGCTGTTTATCTCAGTTGGTGGGGGCATTTTCTCGTAGAAAAAAAATACCAATTAAAAATGTTCTTCCAAACTGTACCTGTTGAGAAAAGGAACAGAACAAAAGGATGAGTTATATGATTCAAATATTTATGGAATATCAAGCTAAGAGAAATGAGACCACCTCCACTATTAGCCTGAGTTTCTGCACCCAGGCAAGATACTTCCTCCTCTAGACAAGGGACCTGCCAAATACACACACACGTACACACATTTAAACCTCGGTAAAGGACTGCTATAGCATGCAGCCCTGAGAACAATGTTTCCAAGTGTTTGAAGACCATCCCATTGGTGCTTCCAGATCATTCCAAGGCATTCTCCAGTACAACAGACAAGTCCTCACTTCCACTTACTAACGGGAAACGGCAGCACGACGAGCCGCCAAGGCCGGGCCGCCTGGCGCGCAGCAAGCGTCCTCACACCAGCGCAGTTCCCCGTTCCTTCCCCCGGCCGGCACGCAAGCGCTCGCCTCACCTCCACCTGGGGACTCGGCCCGGTCACGGATGGGCTCCACGCCCCCACCAACAGGTCAGCGAGGACCGAGACGGCGCCGGCTGGGCTCCGTTCACACTCGCGGCATTCCCTCCTGTGAAAACAGCCAAGAAGGGGGGGTGGGGGTAGAGCCACGCCCGGCGGGACCGCTCGGCCCTCTCGTCGCCCGCAGTCTCGGGAGTTCAAAGATCCTGAGACCCAAGCTGCAGCGTCCGGAGCCTCACACGCCGAGTCCCGGCGGGCTGGGCCTCGGGTCTCCCAAGGCCGCCCGGTTAGCCGCGCCACTATGGCGCGGACGGGGAAGAACTGGAGGTCCCGCCCTCCTGCGCGCCCGCCAGGCCGGCCGAAGGCCTCGGCCTTTCGCTTCCCCCCAACCCCTCCGCCCCAACACGGGCGTTCCGGTCGCTCCGGCCTCGCTCAGGCTGTCCGCGTTCCTTCCGCCCAGAGAGGGGAAAAGAGTCCCGCGCGCACGCGCGCCGGATTCCCCCGCCCCGCCCCCCTCCAGTCAAGGAGAGGATGTGGGCGCCGCGGCCGCACCTCTGCAGCGAGCCCGAGCTGGCCCGAGGTGGGGGGCGGCGGGGCGGGAGGCGAGCGGGGCTTCCCCCCGCCCCCCCCCGCTCCGGCAGCCGGAACCTCCCTGCGGGGCGGAGTGATACCGTCGCGGCGTAGAGCGCGGCGCCCGCCGTGAGGGACGCCCCGGACTGCGCGGGGCGGGCGGCGACTGAGGGAGGAGGGGAGAGAGGCGGGGCCGGGGCGGGTTGTTGTGAGGCGACTGCGCTACCGCCGGACCCGAGCGGTTATGGCGGCTCCATATTAACACCCTCCTCCTCCTCCTCCCTCTCCTCCTCCTCCTCCTCCGCCGTCTCCTCCTCCTCCTCCTCCTCTCCCTCCCGCCCGCGCTCGGAAGCCCGACTCCCCCTTCGCCCCGACGCCGGCCTCTTCCCCTCGCCTGTCCCCCCTCCCCTCTGCGACCATGCCCGGCATGATGGAGAAAGGGCCCGAGTTACTGGGGAAGAGCCGCTCGGCCAACGGCAGCGCCAAGAGCCCGGCGGGCAGCGGCGGCAGCGGCGCCTCCTCCACCAACGGCGGGCTGCACTACTCGGAGCCCGAGAGCGGCTGCAGCAGCGACGACGAGCACGGTGGTAGCCTCGAACTCCTCCCCGCCTCCCCTCCCCTCCCCCAGCCCCCTCCCTCCCCGC